TAGGCTAGGCTTGCAAGCATCTTCCAAACTCCCCCAAGCTGAAGTACATTTGGATGAGCTGCCTCCAGGTCATGGTTGAGAACTTCTTGAAAGTTAATTTCTGTTAGGGTGGGCTGCGAGGAGAGCTTTTTGATTGCTGGAGCTTGATCGCCAGATCCAGTGCCGCCATGCCAAATCTAGTGCCACTATGCCTGCAGCTCATGTGATTCCTAGTGTTAGTCACGATTCTCACACTCGGTTTTTTGTGTTGCAGTTTAGGATGGGGAGGAGGAGCATCAGACCGTGGAAGGCATGGTGTGTGCAAATCCAGATATTCCTAGAAAGCATTTACATAATTTTCATCAAGTTGAGAAACTATAGGTGAGTGTTGAGGGATCAGCAGCTGAAGAAGCAACAGCTAAGGAAGTAGCAGATATGGAGCAGTTTGAAGATTATCCAGCGTTAATGCAGAAAACAGGATGCAACTGGACTTCAGTTGAAACTCATGCTTTGATTGATCTGAAGAGGAGAGTATCTTGCAAGGTAGAGCCTCTCACCTCATGAGAAGTGTCAACCAGCTCCAGCTTGCTCGACAACTATTGCAGCAAAGCTTGCCAAGAAAACTGGGTGTGATGGAGATTGTTATAAGAGATATTGGGAGAACATTATGCATAGCTACAACACAGCTAAGGATTACAACCACCAGACAGGAAATGCCAATTACTTCACTCTCTTATGGAATACTGTCAAGAAGCACCAGTACTGGAGCAAGATCTGTTTGATGCCATTGATGAGTTCTAGTCAAGCCATGGGGCCATTCGTACAAGAAATCTCCTTGACAAGGATGAAAGAATGCCAGAATCAAGCACAAGAGAACATGCGAATGCCATAGCACCAAAGGAAGAATATGACAAAGTTGTATCTAGGAGATTAGGCAAGTGGAGGCTCTCAATCCCTCATAACTGTTCTCATAGAAGGCAATAGAAAAGGCTTCATCCAATGCACACTTCTTATTAGCTTTTGAGAAGGACTTTATTATTGTTCATCACTTACTTTGAGTTTGGGCCAATGTAAGCATATTGGATTTAGCACTTCATCTATATGGTGAAACTTTTAATTATGGGATAATTACTATCGATTAGTCATATAATTTATCTCTCTTTTAATGTTCTTAATTCTATTAAAAGGGCATGATCATGTAAATAACTCTAACTGCCTATTTATAATAGTCTATCTAAACTTTACCAACAGGTTTAATTTATTTGCTCAAGAGGATTAGAGCTTTTGGTTTCTCACTCTATATCATGTATGGGTAAAGACATATAATCTTTTGGTAAATTAAGTGATTCCCATTGTAGCAAGGGTGGCTAACTCCATTAATTATTCCTTTGTTAGTGACAATCATAAAGTGTCTGAGCGTTAATGTATATTGTGTATACAAAGAGGTAATCATTTAAGTTGGTGCAGAATATCCAAAAGGACTCCAATGTGTTTGATATAGTCTATAGTCACAATGTACAAGACACTCATACTTGATATCCTTACTGTTTAGTGATACTCTTTTGTTATCTAGATTATAAACATAAATACAAGCTACATTACAAGTTGATCAATATTGATGGCATAAAGTGCATACTACTTAGGAACCATGAATTCAATTAGATACTAGTGTAGAAAGTGCAAAGTGCATACTACTTAGGAATCATGATCGAACCATTTCAACATAAAAGTCAATTAAATTCAAATGCATAACTACTTAGTAACCACCAGTTCAACTACAGATTCAAATACATAAAATGGATAATTCTTTGAATTTACAGTGCATAAAATACAGCCTACTTAAAACTAATTATGATGCTGACCACTAAACAAATGCAAACTAGACTAGTTCAAGTATGACCATCTTAGTAACTAAGAAAGGCGAGATGTACTTGACTAAAAATTGGCTACTAGTTGCCTTTTGTCATCTGTTAACTTCACTACATATTACTTCCTGCCTTTTAGAGCTCATGATCCCTTGTGCTCTACAGCTTCTAATCAACAAGCTCTTGTAGCAAGGAAATTATTATGATGGTGAGTATTTCACTTTTCTCTTGCCTACTACAACAACTAATGTAGCACAAGCTGATCATCACTGTGGACATCTTTGATCTCCTCACACGCTTTCCCAACATTTGCCACAATTTCACGGCAGATATTGCTCTCTTGATCCAAGAATTCTATACAAATACGAATCAAGAAAAGCACAATACTCAAAACTAAGAGAGATTACAGACATACCTTTTGAGAATCCCTCACAGCAGTGATCAAAGCAATTGCTACCTTTTTTGCCACTACTCAAAGAGTGTTTAGTGGTGGCATTCGTCCATCGGTCCTCCTCTCTTTTAGCTTTCCACTGACTAGCTGGTATAGCTCGTCATAGCGGCCGCCATAGCTATGGCTTGCATTTATTTGGCTGAAGGGTCCGTGAAAACAAACGCAATGGTGTGGCTTGACGATGACGAGTTTTACTCTTCACCAACCAAACAATGGCTGGGACAGACGAGGGGGATCTTTGTGCCGCTTCTGGTCAAACGAGATGACTTTGCTCCCGCGATCGAGGGGCTCAGGACTGGCGACTGTAAGATGGTTGATGGGCAGCTCAAGTTTGGAGAGATTGATGAGGAGATTGTTTCGCATGGGCTGCTCCGATTTTAGGTGAGTCTAGCCTGATTGCCTGTAGTTTTGTTCTCACTTTGTAGACACAGGTGAGGGACACTGGTTATTGTAATTATCAAGACCTGGTAAAATCCTGAATTTAAGAAGGGAGTGATGGGACTGAGTGTTTTAGAATCAGAAAGCAAGAGTGAGAGTTTACAGGGAAGGCTACTTGCAGTCAGCAAAGTCGATCATACAGAAACATCCTATATAATGACGCTTTCTTGTAGAAATTTGTTTCATTTTTTAAAAGAAAGAAAATAATTTCCGGGTCGGTTTACGACTTCAGTGTCTTAAGATGTATGTATCTACCTCGCAAAAACACATTTGTGTAAGCTTTGCAATAAGACGTGAGGAGCAGTGTTGGAGGGGTCCAGCTCAAAAACATGCTTTGCAGCATCCTCTCCAACACCAACATCACACTGAAGCTTGCAAGCTCCAAGGAGAGCTCCCCAAGCAACCGGACATCCTGGCAAAAAGCTTATAACCTGTTGAGCCTCTGTCAGCTGGCCAGTTCTCGCCAACATATCCACAACACAACTATAGTGCTCCCTGGCTGGATCTATCCCATAGTCAAGTTGCATGCTCCACAAACACTCAAGAGCTTGATCCATCCATCCCAAATGGCTGCAAGCGACCAACAAACTCATGAAACTTATCCGGTTTGGCCTCACTCCATCCACTGCCATTTCTTGGAAAACTTTGAGCGATTTGACACCATCTCCGGCGTGGGAATGAGCTGTGATCAAACACGTCCACGAGATGACGTCTCTGGCCTTCATTCTCTGAAAAACCTCTATGACTTTGGATAGATCTCCTTGCTCCGCATGCACGGATAAGATTGCGTTCCAGGAGCTCAGTGTCTTCTCTGGGATGCTCTCAAACAGAGACTCCGATCCATCCAAATCGTGAGAGCTATAAACGAGCACGGTTGACCAGCTAATTGAATCCCAAGCGGGCATTCGATCGAAGACAGCCTTCGTTCTTTTATAATCTCCATTTTGTACCAGGACTGCCATGAGACAGTTCCAAGCTACCAGGTTCCTCTCTGGAGAATAATCAAAACATTTTTTCGCAGATTCTAGATTGCAGCTCCGGCCATGGATGGCTATTCCAAGAGTGACCGATACAACACTGTGATAAGGCATCAAACTATGGATGTAGTTTGCTTCCTTGAGATTATAGTTGTGGTCCACGAAAGCTTGGATCAATGCTGTCCAAGACGAGTGCTCCCGTCCAGTGGAAATCGACTCGAAGGCTTCCTTGGCTTTAAACACGTCTCCACACTGCGCATAGATGCCTATCATCACACTAAAGGTGACGAGACTTTTCATTGGCATCCTTGAGAGAACTTGTAGAGAATCTCCAAAGTGACCGCTTTGAGCATATGCCGAGACCATCACATTCCATGTTACCACACTGGCGGCTGGAACTTGGTCAAATAATCGTTTTGCTTCCTCAACACGACCATTTGATGCAAAAACTGTGATAAAAACCGTAAAAGAGATAAGGTCCCAGAATGGCATCTTCGAAAACAGTGTTCTTGCTGTATTTTCCTCCTTGTTTTGGGCATAGACTTCAAGCATTGTGTTCCAAGTGATCACGTCTCGCTCTTCGATTTTTCTGAACAAGTCTCTTGCATCATCTATACTCAAAGACTTAAGGATGGAATTACAAGTGATGAGATTACATCTTGGCATCTTCATGAAAATATCCGACGCCTCTTTGTGAAACCCATTGCGGGAGTACATAGAAACAATCGTATTCCAAGTGATCATGTCCCTGGCAGCACTAGCACCGTGATCAAACAAGTGTTTTGCAGAAGCAAAGCTTCCTTCGCTAGCGAAAGCTTGAATCATCACATTGATGGTGACGGTGTCACGTTCTCGCATCTTCGAAAACAAGCTTTTCACTTGATCAAAATGCCCAGTCTTCGCAAACGCTGAAATGGAAGTGTTCATGCAGAGTGTGCTGTGGCATGGCACTCGCTCGATCAACACCGCCACCTTTTCTACAACGCCTCTTTGCGCAAAAGCTTGCAAAATGCACGTCCATGTCAGTGCATCCCTCTTTGACGATTCAAGAAACACATGCCACGCGTCATCCAGATGCCCCGCTTGGGCATATGCTGACAGTTTTGTGTTTGTAGAGCAAACATTGCATGGGATTATCTTCCTAAAAGCCTGTCTGGCATCGTTCATACTGCCACATTGCATGTAAGCTTTTCAGGCATGTCAAAGTCTTTGGAACTATTGAATTTATGGCGATTTGACGCCAAATAGGAGCAACACGACGTTTACAATCAACGAAGGGACGAGGAAGAGGAAATCCAAGAGTTTTTTACATTACACATTCTTAAAAATCAACGCCCGAGAGAATACACAATCCTATGGTTTAACCGGGAAAAGAATTTTACAAGACGGAAAAATCGCGGGGTTACTCTACAAAGAGGCGGGCGGTGGTGGCGAGGAGAGATCCATTCGTGCATTGTAGACCTTGTCTAGAATATCAATCACCTTGTGCCTCGTCCCTGGGCTCACATCCCTTCTTAGCAGCAGTAGCAATTTCCCAAACAATCCCAATCCGCCAGTCCTTTCCCTCATGGCGGCGCTACTCCTCCCACTGTCCCTACACACCGCCCACAAAATCCCCACCGCATTCGCAGTCGCGGAGTCCGACACCCTCAAAATCTTCTTCACGATCGCCGGGATCGCGAGCGCGTGATCATCGATCGCCGCCCGGCCCTCGGCGCAGCCACAGAGGAGCTCCAGCACGATCAAAATGTGCTCCGCCACGCCGCCGCTGGTGTCCGGGAGGAGCTCCACCAGCGCCGCCACGGCGCCGGTGCGCGCCGCCCTAGCCCTGTTCCTCAGTGGCAAGCAAATGCCCAGCAATGCCCTGAGGCTGGAATTCACTAGCACCTGGTTGCCATTCCGGCGCAGAATGGCGACAAGACCATCGATCACCCCAGCCGTCGATCCGATGGCGATCTGGGCGCCTTTATCGCTGGCTAGGCCATCTAGCACCGCTATCGCGCTCATCATTCCCGGCGGGGAACCCATGCACAGAATCCACGAGATCGAACGGAGGGGCTTGGGCGAGATTAGGGCTCTTCGCGAGTTGTAACTGGCGGGAAGATAGGCGAGGATGGCGATTGCCTCTTCAATCGGCTGGAGCCACGCCTTGTCCGGAGGATCCCTCGCGTCCTGGGGGTACGGAGCGCTGAGAACGCCGGACAGGACGGTGACGGCGCCGGCGTCGACGATGGCTCGGCTGTTCTTGGTGCTCTCCCGCGCCTTGCTCTTGAGCTTGGAGAGGGCGTCAACATTGGCAGGGTCTTTCTGGATCCTGTCTAGCAGGAGGAGGATGTGCGGCCTGTCGATCGGGCTGGTGGAGCTCCGGAAGAGATCGCTGGTGGTGGAATGGGATTCGCACCACTGATGGATGAGGCTCCGCAGCGCGTTGTTGGGCACGAGCGAGTGATTCTGGTGGAGCGGTTGCATCGTCGCTGGGCAGCAATCCTGGCCGCGCTCGAGCCACTTGTTGATGCTGCTCCGATCGTATGTCACGCCTGTGCAAGCGGTCACGGGATCCCGCATTAATTCCAAAGAAATTGGGCAGACAAATTCGGGTGGAGGCACTGGATGAAGATCGGTTTGATCCATCCCAGAGCGATGATCTACGAAGGAAATACCCAGCTCGTAGGGGACTCTGTGCTACTACTATGACAATGGCTGGATTGAGTGCCTAAAAGAGAAGAGAAGCGGTACCGGGAATCCACGAATTCTTCCCTCGCTCATCACGAATTTGTCCTCGCCTGGAATGGAACAGTATCCCTCGGTCGATCGATTGGCCTGTGCGAAGAGAGAAAAGAATAGAGACGCTCGAATTTGGCAATCACGAGAAGGAAAGCTCGGCGAGCGATGGAAAGCGAGGAAGGGGTGGCACGCCAATAAAACACCGCTCTTCCCAGCCCTAAAGGGACAATGGGAAGCCGGCACGAAACAGAGGAAGTGTTGACGTGGAGGCCCAACACGTGTGACGATGCCGGCCGTCCATCGGGCAGATCGACGCGAGAGATGGCGGCACGTGGTGGCCTGAAACCCCCTGTTGCGTTGACGCGTTTGCGTTCACCGACCGTAGACCGGAGCTTCGCCAATGGGGTTTCGACAGCGCATTGCCGGATAAGTACGTACGACAGCGGATATTTTACAATTCCCTTTCTCTAGAGGTTGCTTGATATTTCTTGAATACGTATTTCTTTAAAGAATTCTCCTTTTTGTTTGGTTGCTTGATAGTTGGAAAGTTTGATCTATTCCAGTATAGGGTGGGCCGTGGACGATGGAAGGAATGGCTTGCATGTCATGAGCGCCGTGAGAAGCGCAAAGAAGTTGAGGAAAAAGAACACGAGGTGATCACCTGTATCATAGAAGATTAAAAATTATAGACTTCCCAGAGATCATTCTAATGTAATCCTCTTACCTGGGAGAAGCCAAGTGTGTTGCCTTGTTTGGCACCACGCAAAGCTGAAATGCAAATCAAATTAGTCTCACGCGTGAAAGAGATTTTGCGCATATAATACACTTACACTGAGCCACCACCCGCGGGGCCAATTGCCTTGAACAGTGACACAATGCTCAGAGAGAAACCATTGGCGGCGCCTCTTTGCGCTTGTTTCTGGACAAAGCTACTTGTTTAGTATGACTGAATGGGGCGGGATTTTCTGAGACAATCGGCTTACCACTGAATTGTTGATGAGTATGAAGGAGCCCGTGAATGTGGCTTGCTGGAATCGAGCAAAATCAGAAGTAAAATCCAGGAGGAGCTTAACTTACACCCAGAATCAACTTGGTGATCGACGCGATGAGAAGTATCGCCCAGAGAGAGTTCCCGTGAAGTTTTGAGAAGAATGGATACGCCGTCAATATAGGAATTGCTACTAGCTGCAATGCAAGAGAATCTTTAGAGCGAAGAAAAAGGAACAAAAAAGTGGAGAGCTTACTGTTGGTACTCGTGTCAACCGGATTGGCCCGAGCCACTTTGCAAAGATAGGAAACAAAGTCAATTGGAACAAAAGCATAGACAAGCCTGTGAATAAAAAGAAAGAAGTAAACAATGACGATCCAGTCTAAGTGATAGAACGCACCGGATATTGCAAGAACTTCTCCAACATTGGAGCTCGTGAAACCCAGTCCACCGTATGATCTTCCACTCACGGCCCACAGCGAGAAGATCTAAATATTCAGAGTGATTTTAGAAAATCTCTACGATTGTCGTGAAATGTACCTCGGTGTAAGCTATGTCGTGTAGAGACCAGAGACAGTAGACCATTGTGGAGGAAATAAATCCCCAGTTTCTAAAGATGGATTCGGATTGCTTCTCCTTTGTATCACTCTCCACACTAATGGGATCCTTGCCTGTGTCCTCCTCATCAATTTCAAGGGAAGTGTGATCTTTATGAAGTGTTTCCTGACCCCCAAACACAGCACAAAAGCTTTTCCGTGATCTTTTGTCCCAGAACTTGGGAAATTAAGCAACGTACCGGCAAGTAGAAGCACATAACCAGTGCTATCAATGCGAACACAAGGACGCCAAGTGCTTGCAACAAGTAAGGAAATCTCGCAAACAAGCTCCCGGATTTGAAGATGTTTGGATACTTGATCGCAGGCTGTAAGGACGAGAAAAAAAATTCACATGAGATCACGGAACTTGAGAAATTCGAGAAGTCAGTTGCCTGTGCTAGATAGCCACCCATAGCTGGTCCGATAATAAGGCCAAATCCCCACATCGTGCTAACCTGCACTAGAAACATAGAATTTCAAGGCTTTGAGAGCAAAAGTTTACGCACCATTGACATGCTTATCGTCTGATGTTGCTCGCTACAGATCTCGGAAGCGTATGCCTGTCGATAAGCACAAACGTACTTTGATTGCTTAGTCTTGAAACTTTGATAGCTCACCTTGACGGTTCCAAGCATTCCATTGAAACCTCCCAAGAGAAATCGCGTGAGCAGAGCCATCCACAAGCTCGTGCTAAGCCCAAACAAGGTGTTGAAAACCACCCTGCAAGGAGTTCAGTTATTCTTGGAAGAACTTATGTCGATCGATGCTACGCACACTGAGAGAATGCCGCAAACCATGACCTTCCTTCGACCATATCTGTCGGCTATGACGCCCCAGAGAACTCCAGTGAGCATTCGCCCAATCATCAAAGATGATCCTGGACAAGACAACAGAAAAAGAGTTAATAGATTGAGTGTGCAGGACAAGTTTTGGCATTGCTTCGTCTCCCAGATCTCCAACTCACCGATCCATCCAGCGTAATATCCAATGTCCTCTTTCCGCTTGGCAACGTGTAGATCCTCTATCTGCGATGGAGAATCCATTAAAAAAAACTTACACAAGCGTGGCCGGTATAGTACACTACCATGAAGTAGAGGAAGGGGTAGACTACTGCGATTGGAAGCGCTGCCATTGTTTCAAATCGAATCGAGAGAGAGAAGATTAGGTTGTGAATGGAGAGAGCTTGCTTAAATCTTACCATTGGCGAGGATCACAAATCCGAGGAGAACGAGGAGCTTGAAGGGAACTGGCGCGTTCTTGTCCCGGAGATGGGCGACTCGGCATCCCGGGCACTTGGGGTGGAGCGCGGATGCCCTGCCGCTGGAGCCTGGGCGATGCTGGTAGTGATCGAGGAGCGGCTGCTTCTCCTCCGTCATAGCACCAAATCAAGAAAAACAACCAATCTGGATCCCTGAAGGAAAACTTTCAGCCACGAGAAACTCGTGCAAGTTTGAGATTCGTACAGAACTAGAACGGAGGGGCTGCTTTGACGGGGCAAAGAATTGAGCTTGCAGTAGTAAATAGTTCGATCTTTTCTTCTACACTCAATATTGGAAGGCTAAGTTTTACATCCAAATGCTCGGTCGAATTGTCGTGTATTCATTCATGGCGATTTGTCCACTTTGGTTCCACGGAAGGTTTTTCAACCATGTTTTTTCCGTGCGATGGTAGCCAGAGCTCTCAGAATAAATATTTTTCCCCAGAAAAAGAGGTAAATGTTCTCTCTCTTGAAATACTGTTTCTGTCATACGTAGAGTGCTTTCAGTCAGGAAAAAGGAAGCCAAAGGATTTTAGCCAAGCAGTTCTTTTAACTAAACAGATCATTTTCTTTAACTAGTACGACTTTGGGGATCTACAAAATCTCCCAAAGAATTAGAATTGATCTAACAAAGATGTTACGCCCGTCGAGCAAAACACTCTCGTGAAGCCTTTTACTCATTCAAGAGAGATTACAATAGAATAATAGACACAGTGTCCTCGTGCCTTAATATTTTAACTTTGCCTAGTCTAAGATATTCAGCTTACACGTTTGTGGCTACAAATAAGACACCGGGCTTGAATTCCCAAAAATAAGACACCGGGCTTGAATTCCCAAAAAAGTGTTGACTTGTAAAGCAAGATACCATCATGCCTTTCTTTATCTTGGTTGTCCATATCCTGGGTGCATATGAGATTAGTTTAACAAGATTATTAATTCATGATATAACAGTCATGCACTGAGATTCTTCATGAGTCAATTAAGAGATGCACTAGAATCAAATGCCCAAGTGTGTAAGTTTGAAAAATGTATTGAATATGAGAGTATATTCATTGAATAAAAGGAAGGTTTAAGTAATTTTTAATCAAATGGTGGTTTAAATTGTTATGCCCCAGTTCTTTAAGTATAGTGGGTATCCCTTTTAAAGCATAAATAATTGATTGAATAAACCTCTAGGCAATGTGCATAACCCCCAAAATGCCTATTAAATATTAATTTTAATATATGATGTGATTCATTTAGCTAATTAATAGAGTCAAACCCAGGACTTTTGTCAACACTTAAAATGCCTACTACATATCAATCTCAACATGTGGTATGATTCCCTTAGTTTATCAATAAAACCCAAAATATCTATTAAATATCAATCTCAATATGACCCCATTAACACCCAAAATGCCTACTAGATATGAACATTAACAAATTCCCTTAGCCAATCAATAGAACTTAAAACGCTTATTAAATATCAATCTTAATATATAGTGTGATTTTTTTAGCCCCCTTTAATACCAAATATAAACAAGAGAGTTTAGTAGTATTTAAACCCAAGAAAATTTAACCCTAAATATCCTAAGATATTTAACCAATTGGAAAAAACAAATGTGCACTTTTGTTATAAGCCCTTATCTTCTATATTTAAATCTTTATAAATCATTTATCAAGTAATGTTAATATTATTGTAAAGATGAGTCAGTTGATCCTAGGAAATAGCAAGCTTTGATATAAAGAGGAGTAGCCATATTACTTCCTTATAGGTGAAGCATCTAAACTCTATGGAAGATACAAATTAGCACTTGGTTTGTCAAGTAATAGCATTACTATCTAGAAAATTGTTGCCTTAGCAATCTTTCCGGATGCAATATGTAAATTATGTTATTGTTGTTCCTCTTTGAGTGCATCACATATTTGAAAAAAAAAAAAAGATTCATATGCATACTTTGTAAGGACATGTGGATCTATTCAAAATGCTCAATATCTAAAATATCATTCAATAAAGTTGCTAAATTACTTCTTTATCCACACTAATGATGGCTTGCTTTATTACCATGAGGTGGACCTTTATATAGTTAATGTCACTAATAATTTATCAACAGGTTCACAAGGATCCATCCATAAGAAACCCCCTTTTAGGGTCATGATATGCTCCTTTGTTTATGCTCCATGAATTTGTGATAAAGCAATCCAATTTTAGTTGGAAGTCTTAGTATAATCAAAAAGATAAATATGCTACTCACCAAAGGGGTGGTCCAAAGTTGAGTTGAGCTCAATTCAACAAAAGTCAATGTAAATTAATACAATTAACTAGATGTTTTATAAGCGATAGTCCAAAGTGATCTCACAAATTGAGCTCAACTCAACATAGTCAATTGAAATTTTTATAAAGGAAATAAATTGAAGAAATGAATGTTTTAATGAACTTTAATATATTGAAACATGTAATACCTGGGTCAAAAAGATTCTACTAGATTGAGTCTTTTAAAAAAGATAAAGTTAATAAGAACATATCGTTTCTAAGACTATATTTTTTTACTATTGACTACTATTACAGTTGTTATATTTTGATTTAAATACTTTATATTTTAACTAAGTTTATAGCTGCCATATATTTACATACTAATCCTTCATTTAAAGTTTTTTTAGGATTTTTGAGAAGATAGGAAGCAAGGAAAACAAAAAAAATTGTAAATAAGAGTTATAATGTAAAGAAATGTGAAAATATTAATTTTGTTTTACTATCATAATTTTCATATTACACTTTTAGTCTTTGTTACCCATTGAGGAATGTAAAAACCACTATCACCATTGATAAAAATGATTATATTACTTCCAAAACAATAGTATAAAGCAAAAGAAATGAAGAAATAAACAACACAATAAAGAGCACTAACAAATTTCCCCAAGTTCTCCCAATATTCCCCAAGTTCTACCAACATTCCACCTTCAACTTCACATAATAATTATCTTTTTACTAAAGGTGTTAGTGAAGTTGAAATAAAGCTTTCTATATATGAAATTCTAAATCTTTCTACTAGAGAGGGATTGCCTTTAGCATTGCAAGAGCAGTGCCACATGTTTCTGCAAGATCTTACTTTTAATATAGCAAGACTACTTGAAAGCATAAAACACTACTATACTTAGTACTTAATATGTTACTCTTTTTTAGATAAAACAAATAGTTCTATGGGTCTATAAACTTTTCTTGAGCACTATAGCAATTGTATAAAGATAGGTTTAGAAAATGTGTATATATCAATTCCAGAATAAGTTACAGACACATACCCACTATTGCTTTATGATGAAGGACAACATTCCTTTGGGAAACACTATATTGGCTAGTGAAAAATATAAAGTTTTTAGGCCATCCTATAGTGAATGTAAGATCTAGGATTTTTTTACTATAGTATTGTATTTTAATATATATATATATATATATATATATATATATATATGATATTAATTATAGGTAATATATCTTATTCTAGAGTGGAATATCCACTACAACAAACAAGGTATTAGAAGTGTAGTGTTTAGTTTAGGAATGACTAGAAAGAAAAAAATGTGTAAACTCTTTTGTCAAACTTCAAATCAACACAATAGTTATCTTGGTTTAGTGGGAACAAGTAAAGTCATTGAGAGGTTGATTTTAAAGTGCCCAATATGCCTTTTTGTCTTGGGTCAAAAATTCATTTCTATAGGTTTGAATAATTTTCTTGAGCACTACCACAAAAACAATATTATCACTTTATATATAATTGTTTATAAGTGTAAAGATCCAAATAAATCCTATAAGCTGTACTAGATTGAATCATGAGACATAGAAGGAAAGAGAGAATAAGAGGAAGAAAGAAAGAAGAAGAGAAAGAACTATGATAAAAACTTTAGATTCCATTGGATGCTTCCTTCCAATTGAGGTTGCCATGTACGATGAGGTGACTATGTATAGCAGGGTTTTGCTATACATAGTCACCTCATCGTACATGGCAACCTCAATCTTTGTCTTTATTTTGTCTCTACAGATCACCTCCTAGAAAAAAGGTTCAACTTATCCCTCAGCTTTTATTGGTAAAATTGGAGTCCATTGGAAGGTCTTACATAAAAACTCAAGTTAATCCTAAGTGATCCATTGTGGTAGAGTTGGTTCCAACCCAATGAACTCAAAAATGAAGAACTCATTATTGATGCAAGTTGTGATAAACCACCTTGACCACACGATTTGGTTGAAGCAGAGTTTGATGCTCACAAACTTGCTAAGGGAGAGGAATACTAAATGAAGTAGCAACTGTTGGGGGTCTTATATGGAGTTTTAATTCTAAACATGGAAGACATCATGAACACGAGATGATGCTAGCAACTACAACCTATAGGCCATCTCATTCACACACTCCATAATCTCAAAAGGCTTTAAGAACTTTGGATGGAGCTTAGAAAGAGTGGTAGTGTTGAGAAAGAAACCTTTTAATAGTGGGGAGAACACTCTCTTGTACTTTGAAATCTTGCTTAAACATATTTCTTGTGTGAACTCCCTACCCTTAGAAAATGGGGAAGAAAGGAAATATACCTCTACACTTTAGCATCTCTTCACACCTTAGAATATTCCAATAGTAGAATATTGTAGGAAATCTTTCTCAACTCTAAGCCATCTCCTAACAGGCAACAACAAAGGAACGTACTAGTTCTGTTATGTGTGAAAGCCCACAATCAAAGTGCTGTAAAATAGACCCCAAAGTGATGCTCTATATTGGCAACTATTGCAAGGAGACAAAGAAAGGAGAAGAAAAAGAGAAAAACAAAGGAAAAATAGAAAACAGAAAATAGAGATATAAAACCAAGTAGGAGAACCACGTACTTGGACCCCAACTTAAGGCCTCCTCACATCTGGAAAGTGCTGCAAATATCGCTTAGTTACTCTTAAAGTTCCAAGGGAATAAAGTAATGTATTGCTTGGGAATGGTAATTGCAAGAATGATAGAAAACAATAGTTTATCAAATGAATAGTGGAAGGTAGTGATGGCTGGTTGTAATGGAGTGATAGTGTAGGGGATTTGGCAGTCTATGAATATGGTCAAAGTGGTTGGTAGCATGTATACTTGTCACGGAAGAAGAAAAGGCTTGCATTCTTTACAAGTGTAGCGCATGTGATCATAGGATGAGATTTAGATATACTGTCACCGTGGATCCTTGGAACCTTGGGGGATAAATAGGGATAAAATAGCCACTAAGGGCTTTCTCATCAAGCAATTGCCCCTTTTCCAGTTGGCTTAAGGGGAGAGAGATAAGGTGCGCTACAGTTGGTATCGGAGCAAATGGTACGGGTTCGATTCCCATTAATTAGTGGCTACTTAAAAGTATAATATACCCTTG